CGCCTTGCGGGCTCCCACTCACGCCATCGGCGGCGCCCATGCCAGGCGACCGGGTGTGGGCGAATGGCCACCCGTCAGCCGCGAATGCCTCCGTGCGCCTCGCGCCTCATTGGTGCCCATTCCCTCCTTTCAGGCAAGGGCGGGCAGCGGGATTGGGTGCCGGAGAGGCGCCGATCGTGCGGTGCGTTTGGCGCCTCGCGGACGCCAACTTGTGCCACCGGCAGGCCCGTTCGAGATGACCGCGGGTAGCGTGAATGGGCGCTTGTGAGGCGCCCATCCTCCCGCGCCTCTTGCGCCTGGTCGGCGCCCATTCGTGTAACAGGCGGGGGGGCAATTCTAGGCCACCCCGGGAGGCGGGAATGCCTGCCCGTGAGGAACCAATCGGCCAGCTTGTCTGGCGCCTGGTGGGCGCTTGTTCGCGTCGCCTGCTATGACCATTCCAGGCCACCGCAGGCGCCGCGAATTGGCGGCCGCGAGGCGCCAATCTGGGCATGCCTCCCGCGCCTCGCGGGTGGCCACTCGGGCCACCGGTGGGAGTGCCATTCGATGTCCCCACGGGCGGCATGATTAGCCGCCGGTGAGGCGCCAATCCGGGGGAGCCTCTCGCGCCCCTCGGGCTCCCAGCCACGCTACCCGCGGAGCCGATGTGCGCCAGGCGCATTTGCGCCTCCCGGCTGGTCGCTTCCGCCAGTGCCCGGTGCCAATCTAGGCAGGTGTAAGGGGCGGGAGCGGGCGCCCGGGAAGCGCCACGCTCGCGCGCCCCGAGGCCACTCTCACTACCCGCCTGTGCCGCACGCGCAAGGCCGAGTGCACGCCTGCTTTCCGGCCTGGCGCGCTACCTCCAACCACTCTCCCTGGCTCCTCCAGACAGCGCTGCACTCACCTGCCGTACATCATGTGAGCGCGCGGGCGCGAAGTGACAGCGAGCTGACTATGCTCCACGCGAAGCGTGGAGTTACGAGGGCGGGAGCAAGGCTTCAATCACTATTTTATTTTGGCACCGGCACACAGTACATGAGCGTTGCCTACGGGCCCGACCGTGCAACGCCATCGTCCGCCGGGTTAATCAGAGGACGCCGCGTGCGCAGCCCGTGCGGCGGTCCGAGCTTGTAAACTAATAGAGGATAATTAGGTCCACTAGTTAGCCTAAGGTTTCAAGGGCGAAACCACCCCCATGGGGGAGTGTTCTGGTGTAAAGCACATGGGGTAGTATGTTTCTCTATTAATTGGGCTCCTTAGAGGTATAAAGTACAATAAACATTATAATAATACCATCTCATATGGAAGTAGGCTTCATTAAAAGCTTGTAAATTCTTGAACTGCCTCCATTTGGTTAGCGGTAGAGGAGTTATGTTATACATTACCAATACTTAAGACCCACTCACTGGAGCCATATTGGGGGATGAGATACTGTGGTATAGGCCCATGGCTACATTGTCGTATGATCCGGATGGTGGCCACCCCCTAAAGGGTGACCGCCTGCTATCAAACTGTAATTCCAATTCTTTTGCTCACTTGCCCCCAACAGCTACACCCGCAAGCCGTATAGCACCGCGCTCCCATAGCATGTACAGCCACCCTGTGCCCGGCCATTTGCAAGCCTGGGCCCACATTGCAAACCCAAAGACATGAGAGCCCCTACAAAGCCCACTGGCTATCTGGCTGAGGAGGCCCCCATGGCCTCATTGGGTGCCTCGGTGGGCTCATCGCCCGCACCAAACCGAAAACCACACCAATGCCCCAGGAAAACTCAGCCTAGGGAAACAACAACATCATGCACCAATAGGTCACAATAAACCAACGCACCTGAATAGACAACGAACTACCCTCCGACCTTCCATACGTGATCTCTGCAAAGCCATTGAAGTCGAGATTTTCGAAATGATTTCTTGGCTAGCGTTGTGACATAGCGCAAGGGAATCCTAGGCTAGTGGGAGGTCGAAGGCCTGGGCGCTGAGGAGTGTAGAGGAGAGACGAGGAATGGAATGAGACAAAGTGAACGTGGTGAGATGGTGTTATGATTGATAAAAACCACTCACAAATACACAAGAGATCATAGGCTGTTGGTGAACTCTTGCTAGAATGGAGTGTGTCGTTGAGGAATGTGTGTGCCAGGAACTGAAGAATCCAATTTGATTTGAGTAGTCACTAGCCCATTCTTACGAAGGGGGCTGTGTGGGAAATATCTTGGGATAAAAGGGGGGGATCTGTGGTCTATTGTGGGGGGCTGCAGAGGTTGTTCTTGGTCTGGACTTCCATGTAACGAATTGGTGCTTTCGATGGTTTTGTTTTCCAACCCTAGAATACATGCCGACTCTGCTCGAGCAACATGTAGCAAATTGTGACAGTCTCCGGCAGGAGTGCTTGGTGTCTGAGGTCCTTGTGACATGCGCTTGACTGACGTGACCCTCATGTTATGTGTCAAAGGACCCCCTTGAAAGGGTGCGTCCTGGAGCTGGATTCGTTGTGCATGCTGCCGTGTGGTGGAAATTGTGCCCCACGTTTTGTTGCATCTTCCACTGTGGCGCACTTCTGGAGATTCTACAGGCTATCATGGCTGGTTGGAGTCCAACACTAGTGAATTGAGCATTGCCACAAGAATGGCGATTTGTCCTTATTTTGGAATTTCAAAGGATTGGATGCAAGGATGGCCACAAAGGTGAATTTGGGTCTTTGGAGTGACGAAGGCTTGCTAGGCTTCAATGGATTGTGTACCATGCACAAGCATTGGCCAATGTATCCACAAGTAGTGGCTATTTGTGTATTTGCAGCTTAAGGGCTCACACAAGGCCCAATCAAAGCATCAATTGAAGCGAAATGTCCTAGCAAAGCTTCCAAAGAGCCTTGGAGCGACAACATGCACTAAGCCCAAGCTTCAAGGCTTTAGACGTTGGCCTTTCTGCTCCTTGGAGGTCCACACATCAGAGATCAAGAAAGGCAGCGATTTCGGGCATCATCAACACTGCGACGGTGGCCGCTTGAGTTGAGGATAAAGGCACGTTCGAGTGTGTTCGGCCAGTGTTATGCCATGTGCTGGACATTGTCCTTTGCCGCAAAGGCGTCAACCACAGGCATTGCAATTCTTGGGCACGGGAGAGGCCCTAAATCAGGGGTGTCTGCAAGACCGCAGAAATTGAACTTGCATTTTTTGGTCCGTGTCAAGGCAATTTGGGGGGCCAGCTCACAGGGGTGAGGATTAAAATTTTTTCTTGAAAATTCGAACTTGAGGGTTTTGAGACCCAATCTTTCCTATTCTCGCCTCTGTTTGTAATTAAGGTGCTGTTTTAATGATGAAATTTCCCTCTCAAATGGACAAAAATTAATATGGGACGAGGGGAGTAAGACTGAGGTAGCAGGTTCCTCTTTGGAACTACATTCACCACCACTTGTACTAATGCGACTATGGTGGGAAGTGTATTGTTGGCTATTTTGAGATTACGAATGCAGCTACTGCATGAGAGTATAGCGAAAATGCCACTCTGGCTTTGTTGTTCAAGCATGCAGAGTGCTACCATTGCAAACGTGCTTAATTGCCATCATATCTTGCTGATGTGACATCCGGAAATCTTTCATCCACGTCCATCATCGATCACCATTCTCGATTCCACCTGACCGATCTCTTGAATCCACCCGGTCATGTTCTCCACATGACAAGACATTTACAAACGTATAAAAAGGTGTCCATCACCATCTACTCACATACCTGAGGTCCCCGTATGTAAGAGTTTGCCCTTTTGCTTTGCACATACTTCACCCCACTGTTCCCCATGACTCAGCCCTGAATCATCCCCCAAATCTTGTACTTCCCTCTACACCTTCCCTCTCTCCCTCGACCGAACTCCCTATCCAGGGAGAGAGGGCCGGGTGCAAAACAAGATAGGAGGGCGGACCAAGGGGGAAGCCTAAATAGCCATCCCCACTCAGCTCCCACCAAAGCCCGCCAAAGTCCAAGGGCGCCAAACTGACAGCCCTTGGAAACTACATACTTTGACTGACCAAAGTTACTAGAGGGGCCAGAAACCCGTTTGAATTCGACTGCGACTGATTTGAATCATCAGCGCAGCCCACCCAACGTCACCCTTGGTGGAAACGTATTAACAAGATAGTTAATTGTATTTTCATCCCCATTTTTCGAGAATGGTGTGACAGAGCATCAATACAATGGCCACAGGGGTTGCCATCCTGCACAAAGGCGGACCTAAACAAAGACTGACAGGCGCAGACCGGAGCCCCATTGAACGCCATAGAGCATACAAAGGGTGGGCTATCCATCGGCCCAGTTCCAGGGACCCTGGTTGACGTTTCCAACACTTTGGGCATTGCATCGAATACATTGATGTTCCATTTTCAAGGGGCGCGATTGCTATTGGGAATATGAACACAGTTTCCTTGGCATCAAGCAACACGTGCTCTGACGACATACTTGACCACACGTGCATGCACCTGTTTAGCATATGCACAAACCAATCTCTCGACGTACACTTCGACTCTGGCCACCATACAGAATTTTGCTCTGTTCCCTGCCAAACACATGAACAACTATCCGCTGCGCCTTTCAACGCCTGCAAGTGTCGCTGCAGACCTGCGCCTTGGCAACCTCCAACTCCACAACCTCGGTTGCCTTCCATCCACAACGCAGCCTGAGCACTCGCAGGACATGCTCAGGCAGTTGGGGCATGGCGTCAACTACGTCCAATAATCAAAGCAAATTATGGGACGTGCCCATCAGTATGCACTACTACTCAAATACTCGAACCTAGAAAAATTTGGCAACTGGAGTCCACATCAGGCATTCACTCCACCAAACAAATTTCGCCACTACCCTCGACGACCAATTCGGACGCTGCCAGCCCTGCCTTGCAATTCTTGACCCTCTGCTGCACAATGAGCCCAGACATTCTCCACATCTGGAAGAGACCTAGTTCAACTGCGCATCTGCTACAGCTTTCCTACCCCGAGGGAGCACGCCCGGGGGGCACCCTTTAGCCCACCCAAACCCACTACTCACCCTTCGCATGCACATTCTGGTCAGCGGCAGCGCCACCATGAAAGAATGCAGCGGCCTTGGCCACCATTTTTGAGAACCAGTAGAAGTTCAGGACGCACAGGGCGACATTGGCCAACCTGTAGATGTAGGTCCAGATTGCTGGAAAGCCACCTGGCGAGGGGGACACCAGCTCACTTGCAGTTTTCGCCCAGAAATCGTATGAGACCCCTGTTCGCAAAAACAATTGCACATTGTCAGACAAAGAGTGGTTTTGCCGCAAACCAAAGGTGAAACTCTCATTGTGCCAGGTGTTTGCGGGATGAGAGGATGACATCGTTCTATGGAAAGTACATGGCAGGACAGTGCTATCTGCAAAACAGCATGTGTCCCACAGCGCGGCAAACAAAAGGGAGGCTCTTTCAATCGCAAAAGTGCAAGTAGCATTGAGACAATATCTTCCAGGGATGAAGTTGCAGAATTTCTGTGTGCACGGAGGAGGGCAAGACAGCTCGCAGTGGACGGAATCACTCAGCAACACACTGCAGAAATTGTGTTCCTGCTTGAATCTGGCTGCCAGCAATTTGTGGAACCTGTCAGATCGAACATCGACTTAAAACAGTGAGGACATCTGTACAATAGATGGGCGGTTTGTACCCTCTGTGCAAGGGCAAACGCGTTTGGGCCTGGTGGAAGAAGCAAAACACAAGGCATGCACGACTGGGTCCACATCCCAATTCCTTGCCAGTTCAGTAGGCTTTTGTATGAACCTGGCACACAACAGGAATGAACTAGATTGTTTGTTTCAGGCTGAGCACAGGGAGAAGCGGAGTGTGCTGTTGACACTGTGCAGTACTTGGCCATGGTAAACGGTCTTCTGTTGATATTTTCACTGTGGTGATATTCTTGGGGCCCATGGATTCTGTGGCATGAGCATATTTTGCTACCTCTCAGATGCTACAGTTTCAGGCGAACAGCGACTGCCCCACACAGGGGCTGTGACTACCAGCTCTAGGCATGGCAGGGAATTGCTGGCACAGCACGGTGGCAAATTACTAGCCAAGTGCTGAGAGTCTCCATGCAGTCTGATGCACAACGAGAACTGCCCCCACCGGCCCCTGCAGTTGCGACCAGGCACTCACACAGTCCCCAGATGCAGCGGCAACTGAAAAAGGAGATGATCATGAGCAGTCCATTGTAGAAGTAGATGCGTGTGCTGCCCAAGTCCATCTTGTGCAAGAACCATCGAAGGTGCACAAAGGGCGTGCTGACCTCCCACATAAGAAAGGCGGCACCTGTTGACAGTAACAGCAAAGCTACTCAAGCGCTGCAGTGGACCAGATTGGCCAGTCCTTATCCAGCGATAATCAGGGTAATGCAGAAAGCACTGCAGGTCAAATCAAATTTCATTTCCCACAACTCGTTTTCCGATGGTAATTGCTCTAACGAAACGTGAGCCACAAACAAATTGTTTATGCACAGGTAGTATGTATTCCTCAAACCTCATGACCAACGTTTGAAAGAAAGATGTAAGCGGAGAGCATCGGCACAGCAAGATCAAGGGCTAAGGTCCTATTTGGCGCCAGTGGAATGCAAACTCATCTGCAAGTGCCAGCATTGCAAGGAAAACAGGGCCCTGAAGAGCCCATGCCACAGGTTGGGTTCATTATTAAAAGGCAACAACCCAAAGAGCAACACCAGATGACACCAGATGACCAGATGACATGGTGGTTGAGTGACTCTCAAGCAACCCAAGAATGCACACATGGATGGTTTAATGCAAAACGGCCAGTTTGCATTGTTGTGCATCACTTTTCGTCAACGTGACATGAACATTTGTGACAGCTGATGGCAGGTGTATTGAAGTGCACAGCAAACAGTGTGTTGCTAAATATTACTCAACGCAAGTCATTGGGTTCATGCAATGAATCGCACACTGCTGCCATGTTGGCAATACCATGCATATACCCTTTGCAGGCAGCCCAGGGAAACAAAAACATCTGAATGTGGGCATGTGCTCGCATGATTTTGTTTGTGAATCCCCAGTTGTATGTGTCTGTCGATACAGGACAGCATACACATTGTTAGCTGAGCAAACAACAATTTCTTTCCTTTTTTCTTTGTCCACAGTATCTTGGGAGGTTATATTGACGTGAGGGCAGCAAGTCCAGACATTACAAGACCATATTGCATGCCCACACCATGAGTTGAGACCGGTGGGGAAACCTCCATTTTGAGAAAGGTATTGCAGGTGCAGAATAGAGAGTTAAAATCATTAATGTAGCATGAATGTAGCGTAAATGTAGCTTAATAATATTAACCCAACGGTATTTAAAATAATCGGCCATCAATCAGGCCAGGCCCGCTCAACAGTACAGGCCAAAGCACAGCGGCAACCCGCGACGCATCGACAGGCCCACTGCCACACTGGCATTCAAACAAAACCGTTTCACACAGCGGCAAGCCTCGCGACGCCTGTTGGGCGCCCCTCGGACGAAGAGTAAAATTCCGACACGGGCGATTGGCGCCTCTTGCTGTTGGCGCGCCGCGAGGTTTGGAGGTGTCAGGAGCTAAGCGGGCGTCAGGGCGCGAGCAAAGCGAGCACAGGTTGCGAATGCAGCGAACGCGAATGTGATTGGCCCCCGCCAATGACAAACCTGCAGTGACAAAGCCAATAGCACCAAGAGCGGAGCAGAGGCGCAAGGCAACGCAGCAGCGTAGCGCCAAGAGGAGAGCTGCTCGGATTCCAACGGCGCACCGGTGGCGGGAAAGGGGGCTAGGGAGGCGCGAATCAGGGCGCGTAGTTCGCGCGTCGCGCGCGCCTATTTTTGCCATCCGCGGGGGTTGTTCCAAGGTGGCACAGGATGCGGGAATGGGCGCTCGAGACGTGCAGGTCATGGCGCGCATCTCGCTCCTCCCGGGCGCACTTTCCCATCAACCCCAGGGAGCCGTTCCAAGGCGGCACAGGCAGCGGCAGTGCGTACCCGGGAGGGGCGGCTCATGGATGGCGCGCGCCTCACGGGCCCTAGGTTCCCATTCACGCCACCCTAGGGCCCCGTTTCAAGCCGGCACGTGTGGACGAAATGGGCACCCGCGGTGCACCAATCATGGCGCGCAGCTGGCGCATCGCGGGCACTCGTTCCCACACATCACTCGCCGCCTCTTGTGCTCGCAGGTGCCCATTTCCGCCACCCACGGACGCGGTTCCAGGCCGCTGTGGAAGGTGGCAGTGGGCGCCCGTGAGGTGCCATTCTGGTGGCAGCTATCACTCACTGCAGGCATGTACTCGCGCCACAGGCAGGGGCCATTCTAGGCCAGCGTGGGCACCGGGAATGTGTGCTTATGAGAAGGTGAATCAGGGGGCCCCTATCCCACCTCGTGGGCATCCATTCCTGCCACCGGCGGACACCAATCCAGGCCGCCGCGGGAGTTGGGAATGGGCGCCCGCAAGGTGCGAATCCCTAGGCGCCTCGGCACTCCTGGGCGCCCAATCGCGCCACCGGCAGGGCCCGTTTCCAGATAGAGCGGGCAGCGCGATTGGGCGCCGGTGAGGCGCCGATCGTACAACGAATCTGGCGCCTCGTGGGCATCCAATGGCACCATCAGCGCGGCCCATTCTATGCCACCGCGAGTGGCGCGAATGGGCGCCCGCAAGGCACCCGCGAGGCGCCCATCCTCCTGCGCCTCTCGCGCCTTTTGCGGGCGCCCATGCGCACAACAGCCAGGGGGCCATTCCGGGCCACCACGGGAGGCGAAAATGCGCCCTGTGAAGTGCCAATCTGGCAGCTCGTCTGGTGCCTCGTGGGCGCTCATTCGTGTCCCCTGCCCCGGCCATTCCAGGCCATCACGGGTGGCGCGAATGGGCCGATGCGAGGTGCTATTCCGGGCACGCCTCCCGCGCCTCGCGGGTGGCCACTTGGGCCACCGGTAGGAGCACATTACAGGCCCCTACAAGCGGCGTGATTGGCTGCCCGCAAGGCGCCAATCCGGGGGGGCCTCTTGCGCCCCTTGGGCTCCCAGACATGCTACCCGCGGACGCGACGTGCGCCGGGAGCACTGGCCCCTCCCGGGTGGTCGCTCCCACCAGCGCCCGCTGCCAATCTAGGCAGATGTGAGAGCCGGGAGCGGGCCCGGGAGGCACCACGCTCATGCGCCCGGAGGCCCCTCTCAACACCCGCTTGTGCCGCGCGCACGCCCGAGTGCACTCTTGCTTCCCGGCCTGGGGCGCTACCCAAGGCTACACTCTCAAGCTCCTCCAGACAGCGCTCCACTGGCCTGCCGTACAACATGTGAGTGCGCATGCGCGAAGTGACAACGAGCTGACTGTGCTCCACGCGGAGAGTGAACTTACGAGGGCACGAACAACGTTTCAGAGCATTTTTATCGGTCGGTGCTATTGCACCGGCGCAGCCATCCAGGAACAATTGTCATTGGTCACCGTGCAACCTTATTAAGGTGGCTTTTGCTGAATAGCACCGGTGCTATTGCTCCGCTGCATGCATCCACAATGGTGGATTCCTATGACCAACAACATCACTACAGCAGCACTACAATTTTCTGCGTGAATAGCACTGGGTGCTATTTCGATGGGCTATTTGGCCTCAAACAGTGCTATTCGGGGCCATAATAGCATTGCTCAGCACCGAATAGCATCAACGGTGCTATTGGGGGGCTATTGGTCCCCAACCATTAATGATATTCTTTTGACATGTGGAGCTATTCGAATAGCCAAATAGGACCGCTGGCACAATAGCACCCACCGACAACGATGCTCTCGAGTTCTATTTTATTTTGGCACTGGCACACAGTACATGTGCTTTGCCTCACAGCCCCGACCGCGCGGTGATATCGTTCGTCGGGTTAATTAGAGGACGCCGCATGCGCAGCGCGTGCGGTGGTCCGAGCTTGTAAACACAACAAAAACAAAAATATATTAATATGTAGTACTATGTACTACTATGTAGTAGCATGAAACTCGTTGTGATATGCAAAATGGAAAGACACCTCACCGTAAAAGTGATTGAAGTTGTGGAGGACGCCATGGGCAAACAGCAAAAAGGAGAAGCCTGCATGCATGAGGTACAGGGGACCCTCCTCGTGGTACTTCCATATGCAGATGATCAGGTCCACAAGAAAATAGCCCGCTGTGATGCACATGCACGTTTTGCTCAGGGGTGTGATGCCGTATATGTGATCGCTCTGGATCGTCTCGTCACTCAAGAGGTACAATGCAAAGGGGATCTGCAGGCCGACACACAGGTATCAATCTCAAATCTCTGCTTTCTTGGGCATATTAACAGCTTAATTCCAAATCGCAAAAAAAGGTTGCAAAAAGGATGCCTTTTCCTCCCACAAAACTGCCTGGACACTTTGATGCTGACAGCTGCTGGCAATGCGAACAATGGCAGGACAAGTTATTGTGAACAAGTGAAAGAGTGACCCCCTTTCGTCAAAGCATGTTCAATGAGTGCTTACTAACACCCGTAGTACTTTGTTGCATATTTTTTCAGCCCGCTCTTGTTGTACTTCTTGGTATTTTTTGTGACCACTCTGGACACAAGGTTTTCTAACGTTGCTGTTTGCATGGAGCCTCAACTTGGCCTGTGGATGTGCAGGCACACCCACACGCTGCAGACATGAAGGTCACACACTTGTGATAGTGTGGGTGACAAGCGACGCTCATGGGCAGACTCAGTCTGGAGAACTCCTGAACGGGAGAGCAGCCTGGGGCAGTGTGTGATGTTACATATGAAAGGATACCGTCATTCCAACATTACCGTACAATATTAAACCCTTCCGCATCGGTCCATCCCGACCGTTACGTTTTTGCTCCGCATTTTCGTCCCAGACCGTTACGTTATTTTTTCTTTTGCTCCGCATCGTGTCGGGCGGTCTCTGAGGGGGCTGTAGAGCCTGTATACCAAGTTTCAGGTGCAACGGACGAGTCCCAAGCCTCGTACGGGCATGCATCGTATGACGCCAACCACCCAGCTTTGGGGACGCTTCCCAACAGTCCTAGTGACTTGCGAGGACAGGCGCGGCTGGACAGTGGGCGTCGAGTGCCATGGAACATGTGCTCTTGGGTGCAGCCACACAGTGTGGCTGCACGGCGTCAATGGCGATGTCTGTTCCCCAGGCGCCGCGCCCCCTCCGGGCGCCGCACCCCCCTGGCCGGCCGTTGGTCAACGGGCCCGCGCCCGCCGACGGCCCCCACTCCCCGCCTGTGCCGTTCCGTATTGGCACCTTCGGCGTCAGTGCCCACTCTCCCCGCCGCCCGGATGGCAAGCAGCGGGCGCCTGCCTGCCGATCGATCGCCCATGAGCCTGCCGGATGGCGGGGAGCGCCGAGAGGATGGTGCAAGGCGGGGTGGGCGGCCCACCGTGGGCTTTCGCGTGTCCAATCGGCGGCGGGCCGTGCGACGCGATCGGCTGCCTGGGTCGATCCGTGATGGCGCAGGAATATGCCTGCGATCGCTTCCCGCGGTTCGAGGCCCGACTCGCCCGGTAGGCAAGCGGCGGGCGCCGGCCTGCCTGCCGATCGACCGCTCAGTGGCCTGCCAGGTGCCGGGGCCAAGCCCGTTCTAAAGCTGCTCCCCGGCGTTACTAAATTCGGCTGCTCCGCATCTCGCTCCGGCACCGTTACTTTTATATTCATCGACTCCGCGAAAAAGGGCCCAGCATTACGTTACTATGCGGAAGGGTTTAAAAAACTACGGTAATGGAATCAACATGTGATTATATTAGCGCGATGTTCTGTCACCCAGTTACGATAGGACCAAGACCACCAGGCTGGGGCCCAACAAATCGTCTCGAATGTGCTAATGGCATCCCATACAACAACAGTCAAACATCGGACGATGGCATGATGGTAGTGACGATGGTATGAAAGTAGTGAAAGCAGTCGGCATTGCTGCACAAGCTGACAGGCCAACAAACTGCTGCAGGTAATGCGGCTTCAAGCCTGAGGATGTCTCAGTGTGCCAAGCCAGAAAGTCTCCAGTCCCAGATTTCTCTTGGTTGCACGTCCTCCCCGCCATGCTGAGAGAGATGTCTACTGCCTTCTACATTATCAAACAGATATCTTGATCCAAAGGAGGTTTCCTTAGTCTTCTCAACAACGAAGAAGAACAGTTGCAGAATCGATGTCTCCGCTCACGACTACAGGCAGTGTTGCCGACTGCTTCTCTTGCCTGACTGTGCGTAAGTGTTGGCACATATATGAGGACAGGCATCCATAAAAAACACTGTTCGTTCGTATCACATGAATTTCAGCCAAAATCTGTTTGTATGTAGGATTGTGTTCGACTCTCATACTGCTGTAGTATTTTGGACTTCCAAGTTCTTGTTAATGAAGAGACGTGCAAATGTGGTGGTGTCAGCGCACCTGAATGGCGTTGTGGATGGAACCTACTACCCTGCTGGCTGACTGGCTGACCAGTTGGGTCACCTGCTTTGCAACCAGCTTCTTATTAGTAGTGATGACTGCCTCCAGCATCCTCCGTCCAGGGCCAACAATTAGCGCTGCTTTAAGAACAAGGAAAAACAGGCCTGCCGGCATCACACTGTCGTCAGTGCAAAGGGTATGTCGAACTTTCAAGAAAATAAATCTTGTTGGGTGAACAACAGGTGTGCCTCGTCAAAGTATGAAACATATGCCATCCCTCACTATTCAATGTTCACTCACTGTGCACCATTCACCGTTGAATGTTCGCATCAAACTCACAGTTCCCAGCACACTGTAGCCACTCCCACATCACATTCACTGACCACATTCATGCACTTCACAGCTATCAATTAATCAGGCCCCAAAACACCCATACAAAGACAAGCATTATTCCGGCTGCTTCAGATGGCCACCATTTATTGGAATGCATGGTTTCAATGCCTGAACACACACACATGCATGCACGCATGCACGCACAGCGTTTCAAATCCATTTGTCCTGATCAACAACATCAACACACATGTATAAACAATTGTGACTCAAAATTTTTTTTTGCGAGCGAGCGAACCGAGCGGAGCTTTATAGAGCAAAATCGCGATTTTGGCCGGCCGCCGACCGCACGCCGGGCATGCACCGCCCCCTCCCCGGGCTTCCTGGCGCCGCGCGCCGTGCGCGGCGCCCGAGCGTGGCTTGGGCGTGACTAAAGGGGGGGGAGGGGGTCCGGGCGTGCCATGCGCCGTGTGCGCGCGCGCGTGCGCGCGGGCGGCCTGTCGGCCTGGGCTTAGGCGTGACTAAAGGAGGGGGGGGGGGGTTCCGGGACACCTCTGGTGCCGTGCGCGTGTGCGGGTGGTCCCTTTTTCACGTTACGCACGCAGGCGGTACACGGCCTGTCGGCCTGGGCTTAGGCGTGACTAATGGGGGGGCAGGGGTCCAGGACACCTCTGGTGCCATGCGCGTGTGCGCGTGGTCCCTTTTTCGCGTTATGCGTGCGGGCGTTATGCGGCATGTCGGCTTGGGCTTAGGCATGACTAATGAGGGGGGGGGTTCCGGCACACCTCTGGTGCCATGCGCATATGCGCGTGGTCCCTTTTTCATGTTATGTGTGTAGGTGGTATGCGGTTTGCGTAACCCCTACGGTGGGCCTCCTAGGTCCTGCATCAGCGCGCGGCGCACGGGTGGCGCACGGCGCGGATGCCAGCATTGCACACGCCGCCCATCACCGGGCTTCCTTGACCTGCGCATGGGGCGCGTGCGGCGCGGCGCGCGGCATGGCCGCCGACCGGCCACTCACGCCCATTCCCCCCGGCTTCCTTGACCGGCGCCCGGCCCGCCGCATTGTAGCCGATCGCCCACTCACAATCCATCCCCTCCAGCTTTCTTGACCGGGGCGCGGCGGCCATGAACCAGGCGGCACTTGGGCGAGTGGTCGGCGGTGGCGATTGCCATCGCCCACGGCCATGGCTCGAGTCGCGTCTGGGAGGGCGATGGGCAAGGGATGTAAGAGTTGGGGGGCAACTGATGCGAAAAAAATCTATTCAATGCGATTGACGCAACTGGTCGCCCGATGCGATGTTCACTTCGAGCAAGCTGGGCGGCCACTTTGAGGTGCCTCTTGGCGTCTCTTGGCCATAGATTAGAACGAGTAGCGGTTTTAGAGGAGTGGGGCGGGGCGGGTTGGTTCAAGTTCAAATTTGAAAATTGCAGCCGCGGCGATTGACCCAATGGGTCGATCGCCGTGATCTTTCACTTCAAAGAGGCTTGGCGGCGGCGCTGCAGCGCTTTGAGGTGCTTCCTTGGCCGCCGATTGGAGGCGAGTGGCGTGGGGGTGGGGGTGGGGTGGGGTGGAGGGAGGCAAGTTTGAAAATTCTGTTTGTGGCGATCGACCCGACGAGTCGATTGCCTTTCACTTGAGAAAAGTGTGCTAACGTCCTTAGGGCGGGCGCCTTGGAGCGTAGTTTTGGCACTCGCTCTCGTTTGGAAGAAACTGGTGGTGGGTGGGTGTTGTTGGGAATAGTACACGAGGCATGCCAGGTTTGCAAATCTCCTGCAATTTGGCACATGAATTGCAGCAAAAGTGTGTGTGCATGTGCACCACTCGAGCGAGCATGGTTGCGCCAACAATGTGTATTTTTTGGATATATTTTTTTAATAGGAGAAAAAGGCCTAAAATAGCCCTGATCGACAGGATGTGCTTCTGATGTATGACCGAGAACACCTCTTGTAGAAAACACCTCACAAAACAACCACGTAGACACAACTATGTGTGCATGCTCCCAATTCATCCCTTTCATGCTTCCAAAGCAAACCCTGAGCTCTTGACCACTTGCCCACATTGGGGGCAATCAAATCTTCCAGAAACATCTAGGTTTAGACCCTTGTGAGTTGTGGAAACCATCCTCAAAGACACAGGGGCACTGCAGGCACAAGGGAACTGCAGGGTAACAGCAAGGAAACCAGACATTTCCTTAGACACCATGTTCTTCTGTCTGTTGTCCGCCCGATTGGTGTGTGGCTTTCATATCTTTGGCTCTTGTATAGCTGTATGTTTGTGGTATTAGTATGACTTTTGTTTTCACGGCAAGTGCAACCATTGCACAACAGAGAACAGCAGCAACAGCTCACGTTGCACAAAGTTGCACGAACACAAGCGCTGGGCAACCCATGTGAAAACAAACAACAAAATTCTGGAACCCCAAAACTGAATCACCCTGGAACCTCCTGATAAAACACCCAACTTTGCACACTTAAGACCATGAGCGGTCAAGGAGAATTGTTTCTTGAGCAACTATTCCAGGACCTCTGTCAACATATGCAGGCTGACATTCTCAATCAGGTGTGGACATCCGCTCACCCGCAATGCCTATCCCCACAGCAGCATCCATCTCAACAGGATAGCTCCGTTTAGCATCTGCCATGATGGTGATTGAGCTTACTTACAGCCAGAAGGGCCACAATGCCTTTTTGGCCTACAACCTGGTGGTACACACACAAGTTCCCTCAACACTTTTGCACACCAATTCTCTCCTTTTTGGGCACGTTTGTTCATGTACAACAGAGGCAAAAGTATGATCAGCAAAGGGATTCTTGCAGTTCCCTTGACAGCTGTCATTGACATTGCCCGAACAAGCACAGGCACCTACAAGCACCCATGAAACGTGTGTGCAATGGCATCAGGTTCAAGGGCAGATCTTTCGCTTTCTGGCAAAAGACTTGGGCAATGTCAGAGGTCAAAATGACTCCAAAAAAAGAAAATGTCAGCAATGTGTTGTGCTGCTCTGTGTTCCGCACAGACTCGGCTATGGGCAGTTGAGGTTGTCCTTCCCACTGGTTATGATAGTCCAATCCCTTAGCCTTGAGCATGTTTGGCACCTCTCCTGCATTTTGGTATCGTCTCAGCAACTTGGCCACACATATCCTGACTACCCCGCTTTTCTGTGAAGAGTATAAATCATGGGCAGCGCACAAGGGGATAATATGTGCAGGGTGACTCTGTAAGCTTTAGCAAATCTGTGCTTTCCACACAGGCGCTGTTCGTCAAGTCTTGCGCTATCGGCGCACTGGCGATGCAGATTCTCCGGAAACACTTGCAGCGTGGCCGTTCGACGCAGGGCGTGAGTCGCCTCACATCCACGCCCCAACATTCCTCTATGGGCGAAAATCTCGGCCCAACGCTGACAGTATATCTGCACACAGCGCCTGTGGCTCCAGCAAGCTGCTTGTTCCAAAACAGGGCTGGATGGAACATTTGACGGCCAACAAGGGGCGCTCCTCAACGCGTTTGCTGTACGCGAACAGAATAGAATGGGCCAGTGCGGCCCCATATCACAGGCTCGACGATCACAAGCCCCAACCTCCAGCACGAGGGTCACCCTGAACATGTTGCCTGTTCCACTTTTGCGCTCGGCAACTGCTTCTTATCTTTCACAGCCCGGAAAAGAGTCTCACAGGCAATCGCCCGCGATATGACGTCCCCTGTGATCGCCCTTCCTCCCTTTGTAACACCAACCGAAACCAATGTTCCAATCCCCGCGGTTGCGCCGCTTCCGGCTCCCAAGCCCCCCGAGCACCCCCTCCCTGGCGCGAACCGCCCCAACTGAAGGGCGCCCCACCCGCAGCCCACCTCAGTCGTATCGGACCGCAAACCGCCGCGCGTCTAAAAGTATGCGCACCCGCCGGAGCAGTCTCCGTCCGCTCAAGGCGTTCGCCAATTTGCCCCTGCCGCCTCAGGCGCGTCGAAAAGTCAAGATTTTTGGACACTACAGTGCGGTCTGATTGGCGTGGCGGAGGGCGGGCTGTGAGACTTTTTGCGGTGGCCTTCAACAGGGGCCCAGCAGTGGCCGATTGAAACATGAGGCTTCCATGTGTGGTGCATTGGTAAGCGGGGCGTCACACCACGGTGACGCGACGGGTCGGCACTGGCAGAGGCCGCCGCCCACCCGTGAAATGGATTCCGGGAATGTGCGGGCTGGATGGCATGAGTGCAAGCGCCGTACAAAGAAGAATCCCAAAGGGGTGGGAACAGGGCAACCGCAGTAAGCCGTGGCCAACCCCTTTTTGGCGCTCAACGTGGACTTTGGAGATTATCTGCAGGTAATGGACCCACAATTCTAGCATGGCACTGTTGAAGGGCATTATGTGTGATTGCCATCATGGTCTTTTAATTACAGCCCTAGGAATGTGTCAGACCAGAAAAGTGTGCTTATGGGATCAAAGTCCCTAGAACACAAAGCAACTAGTACACAATGACAATGTTCAATAGACATGCCCCCACAATAATAATGCACCCCAAAATTGACTCTTCGTTAGCCCCAATCTCTCATTGATGCGAATCCAATAGAATCGCGAATCCAACATCTCCTAGACCGCTCTCAAACTATTAGCCAAAGCTCTTTGCTTCTCTGTCCAGTTGCACATGCACTTTTATTTAAATGAAAATCCTTCACATATCAGCCCCCAAAAGCACACCACACATTAATCAGAATGTTCCAAATAGGAGTACCAAGATCAGAGTACAACATGGCTCCCTATAGTGACTGGACACTATACTATACTTTGACGGGTCATTAGATGACCTATATGAGTTAGATAATTTCATCTCAGTTTAGAAATGTGTTAATCATGGTCGCCATGTCCATTTTGTTGGATGGGCCAATTTTAGGTATAATAGGGCCATTAAGGCAGTTTAGACCATTTAGCCCATTTCTGTCCATTTGGGGCATTATTCCTTAAGGGAATCGGTGTGGTTATAAACATTGTAGTCTATCATAATATGGTGCATAGTCATGGACATATGGGAGCCGCCAGGAAGTGGTGGAGTATACTCTAAGGGATTATGGGGTTGATCTAGTTGTACGGGCACCCGTCAGGTACTTGCATTATATTGGATCATAGGTACAAGCGCCCCTATAGCCATGGTACGTTGGAGGGATGTGGTATTGCTAAGGGAAGCCGCCTGGCATTACTAGAGGCATGTCAAAAGGCCAAAGGACCATGTGAGTGGCTCTCCAAGGGCTGAGGTGGCATTACAGAGGCCGATATTGACATTACAAGAGTGTATTGGATATTAGAAGGGGCCGAGGGTGTCATGACGAGAGGGGGAGCGTGCTACCTATAAAAGTGGGTACCCCATAGGTCATTTCTCTCAGTTCGCCAATGCACTCGACCTTGTCTGGACCAGGGGGCCCACCACCGGTATAATACATTGACCGAAGCTTCGCCATCTGTCTTATTGCGTCGCCATTATATAAGGGGCGATCCATCTTTATGGCAGACCATGATAGTCAATCAATCATGCTGGGGGTTGAGGAAGCTCGCCAGGTGGAGGAGCGTTATCAGAAGTTGATGCAGGAGGTCAATCAGGCCCGCGAACGGAACCAACAATTGGAGTAGAGATGGCCATGCGGCATGAGGAGAGGTAGTCCACCGAGTATCGAGGTGACAATCGATCTCATGCTCAAGCTTGAGATATGGCCAAGTTGGTTGCTGAATTGATTGCTGGTCATAGAGTGGCACCAATGGGTGTGAAAGTGGAGAAGCTTGAAACTTATGACGGTGCCAAGCATCGTGATGTTGACATATGGTTGTTCCAAGTGGAGCAGCATATGTCATTGACTGGAATACCTGTCGCCTCTCATGTTGGATATATTGCATCATTGTTGAGGGGCCATGCTACCATGTGGTGGCATGAGTTGTGCAAAAGTGGTAATCGATTGAACAATTGGGACGAGTTCAGAGGGGATCTTCATCAACAATTCCGAATGGACAATGTGACTCTCTAGGCAAGGGATGAGTTGTATGCTCTCCGGCAAAGGGAGAAGGATCCTGTGTTGGACTTTCATCATAAGCTCCGACAAGTATGTATTCGGATCGATGATCTCTCCGAGGCTGAGAAATTGGACAAATTCCTTTGGGTTTCGAATGTGAGTGTCCAGATGTGAGTGGAGTTGAAAGAGCCAACAACGTTTGAAGAAGCTGCAAGATATGCCAACTGAGCTGACAATATGTTTGCTTGAGTCTTTGGCCAAGGTGCAGATAGAAAGCCAAGTTGGTTCAAGAGCAATTCGTCGTATGGTGGATCGAACGCTGCTGGCATGCGCAACTTTCAACAAAGCCATGTGGAGGACCTGAGCTAATGGAAATTGGGACAAGCTATGTCCGGAGGAAGCCTTTGACTTCAGAAGAGAAAAAGTACCTTCCAGACAACAAGGGGTGCTACTACTGCTGCAAGGTTAATGCAGGACACTGGAGCAAGGACTGTCCCATAAAGAAGAACAAGGTTGGAGGAAGGTAGGAAAACTTCAACGGTTGTCGAATATTGGGGACAACGATTAGACAACACCCGACTCAATGAAAGGGCTAGATGACAAGGATGGCCAAGTGATGGTGGTGGAAAGGACCGAGATTCAGTCATTGACTGTTCTTGAAGAGGTTGGACCTACAAAAGTGTCAAAGCCAATGATTGAGTATGGGTATATTTCTCAGCTTATTAAGGAAACTGGATCTGACCAAGTGAGAAGCATGCTACACTCTGAAGCCTCATGGGTGGACACCATTCCTAAAAGGGACATGTTATATAAGGTTACCATTACAACTCATGATTGGGTTGGTGTCATTGATCAAGATACGAACAAACCGGGATGTGTTGAGTCTGGATATGCAAGTCTTCCAATAGACATATATTAAATTGGAAGTTAGGAGAAGCGAGTCTTCCGATAGACACACTTTAACCATTTTGGCCTCAAGAATCCACTATTACAAAGGATGTACCTAGCGATGGCAAAAATTGTGAGATGGAATGCTATATTAAGAAGTCTATGGATGAGGCAGTATCAAATGTGTCAATATTAGTGACATAATTGTTGTGTATTTTGGGAGAAGTTAATGGTGTCCCTGTTAAATTTCTTGTGGACAGTGGAGCCACTAGAAACTTCATCAGTGAGCATCTTGTGAGTGAGCATAGCTTGAGAACAGTAAGAAGTTATGAAAAGATGCAAGTCCATTTAGCGGATGGATCAATGAGAGCACCCTATCGCATTGCAAAAGATGAACAAGTGAGTAATGAGGAGCATGCCGAGTTTTTGAATTTATATATGATGAAACTTCCTATTGTGTGAGCATTGGCTTTGGTTATTTATTAGAATGGAATGAAATGCGATGCAAATGCGCTTGGATCAATTATCCGTGCCTTCGCAGAGCATCGAGTGCAGCGAGGCGATTTTGGGATTTTGGCCATTTTCGGGCCATTTCCCTTTATAGAAATGAGGGCCTTGAGGACGGTCTGGATGCTTGTGGGGACGGTGGCTTAAGTACAGAATAATTTGAGGGTTATGTAACCGTGTTGTGTGCCACGGGGACAAGAAGCTGGGAGATCTGTAATGAACATCTCGTTTCGTTGTCACTGCCTGTTTGCGAGCCG